TATGTTTGGTGAAACTTGTAATAGTTTTTACTTTTTTTGTACTGTTTATGAGTGATAAATTTAAATTTTTATTGGAGAAAAAATTTAAAAATTATTTTTAAAAATAGAAAAAAGTGAATAAAAAGTTAGTTAAAAAAGTTTATAAAAAATATAAATTTGAAACTTTTCAAAATTTATTATTAAAAATTTTTTTAAGGTTAAAAAGAAGTTAAAAAAAAGTAAGTTTTTAAAATAGAAATTTAAACTTATGAAATATAAATAATATTAAAAAGTTGAAGTTTTTACAAGTTTCACCAAACATGCTCTCAAATAAAAACTAGTATTAAATTTAACTTATAAAATTAAATTTAAAATTAATTACAAAAAATTTAAAGCATTAGTGAAAGTAATTTTTAGTACTATTAAATTAAAGTACATCTATTATATTTTTTATAATTAATTTGTATAAAAAATGTAAATATTGATTTTAATTTAATTAATTAATCAATTAAAACTATTTACATAATAATAATATTAAAATAAAAATAAATTTTTATTAAATTTCATGTAAAAAAATATATTTATTGTACTTTAATACACACCCACAAATTAAATTAATAATAATTTCTTCACACATAAGGGATTTGGTTTAAAATTTTGTAAATCCCTATAATCTGCTTTGATCTACTCAAATGAATTATATATTTGAAATTATAAATAATAATAATAATTATCAATACTTGTATACGAGTTAGCAAATACACTTTAAAATTAAAAACCCAGAACCCCTTCATTCCGTTTCTTCTTCATTGCTCCCATTCACTTCTTTTTTTCTCTTTCCTCTTTTCTAAAAGCCCAGAACTCATCTGCGTCCCAAACCCACTTTCCTGTAAGTAGCTCTCATGTCGTCGGAAAAAATTGAAGAGATTCAAAGGGATGAACTCGTGGATTAAAAAGGTAGAGAAAACTTGATTTCCCTATAAATTAATATTGGGGTTTTGTGAATCTGTTGATCTTGAATCTCTTGATATATATATTAATTGAAGTTTTGTTTTGAAAATCTTAGAATTTGATAAGTTGAACCCTTTACTGACTCGGTGGAAGTGGAACTCAGATTCAGAAAGGGCAATCGGCAAATAGGGATTGGAGAAGCCATTTCTAGCTTTACCTCACTCACAGACACGGTCTGTTTGTTTGCTTAGAAACCCAGGGAAAATTACTAAACATCAAATCTTTAATTACGTTCGTCGTTTCCATTTCCATTTCCATTGCAACCACAACTTTAATCAATGGGAGCCCCTGAAAATCCTGAACAAGCAGCATCCGCGGAAAATGTAAGTTTTTCCATCTTCTTAATTCACATTCTGAAATCTTTAATATTTCTTCTTGATGCATTCTGGGTTCCAGCTTTTGCTCAATGGGGTTTTAGTTTTTGGGCAATTTAAAGTTTTTGCATTTAGGGTTTAACTTTTGGTTAATGGGTTTTTGATATTTCATTTCATTGTGTGCTATGCAATGTACAGATTAATAATTTTATACACTATCATTTTATATTGAAACAATTACTTAGCTGGAGGTGAAGCTAACTTCTTGTAAATTAGGATACACCAAGACTGGCCGGAACAGTAAACTGGGGCACTGCAACTGTCGTTGGAGTGTTTGCAGGCATGCTATATGGAGGTAGCAAGGAAGCAGCTGCTTCAACTGTAAGTTTTTTTGGTTCAGTTTCATCTAAAAATCTTCAGATTGGTGTATCCTTTTGGAATTAAGTTGTGAGGATGTTTTGATGTCATGTACTTTGTGAGGAATAGAGTTGATGGTTGTGGAAAAGGAGTCAAGTGACAGATTAGCCATTTAGTTGGAAATGGATTGGTTGTATCCTTTTAGTTGCAGGTTTTAATTTGAATTAGTGCCTTTGACCTTAAAGACTAAACTTTTCGCACACACTCGCTTTCTATTATATTTAAGGGTCCCATGGGCTACACAGGAGAGAAACCCTTGTCTTTGTGGAATAGATGCTGTTAAAACTAATATGGATGTGGCCAAGGCAAGGTCTAGTTGGTTACAATTCCTTGCCTCAAGAAAGGTCTCAAGTTCAATATCCAACTGTCAACCCCACCTCCTTCCCCAGTTCCAAAAGGGTCAAATGTTTTTTAGAACTGTTATTTGGAATGGTAAATTGAAATTCAATAGGTACATGGAAGTATGTTTATCATGGTTTTTCTTCATGTTAAGAAAGCATGTAATGTAGCTAACTGTTGGTGCTTGCTGACAACTTGTACGTACAATTTGTCAATTTTGAAAACTTTTCTCCAAAAATAATTTTCTTTGGTACTGCAAATTGGTTGTTTTGCTACTCTTGTTCTACTACCCCGTTCTGTTTCTTTTTTTTTCTTCTGTTAGATGGAAATTTTAAAAGGGAGATGAGAACTGTAATGCAGGCAGAACTTCTTCCTCCTCTTCTTGGACCCGCAATGCAATTCTGTATACTTTTACATTTGTTTGGTTTTTGTTAAGATCAACTGTCATGATTCACCGTGCTGTAAATTAATTCTTGTACATATTGTTTTCAGTTGTATTGAAATTTATGGGGATATTGCCATGTTTGGACAGAGCAAAGATGCAGAAGTCATGTTGAAGCTTGGCAGCACTCCTGATAAGCGTGAGCAGTATCGGTTGATGCGAGATGCAATGGAGAAAAGGTTTATCCGAGTCACTCGTGGTTCGATAGTTGGTGGAGTTCGTCTTGGAATGTTCACCGCTGCGTTTTATGGTTTACAAAATTTGCTGGCTGAGAGAAGGGGTGTGCATGATGTGTTCAATGTTGTTGGAGCTGGTTCAGCAACTGCTGCAACCTTTGGTTTAATTAGTAATATCTCATATCTTATCCAAGCTGATTCTTGAAATTGATTGCTATTTCTTAGTATTGTGATGGCTACTAATCTCTTCAAGAAGTCAAAACAAGGATGAGTCTTAACATCCCATTTTTTCCTGAAACATAACAGTGCCAGGGTCTCTTAAATGGCGTGCAAGGAATGTGCTTCTTGGTTCAGCTCTAGGAGCAGCTTTTTGTTTCCCACTAGGTAGTTGTTTTGCACCTTATATTTTGGTGTTGATTATTAATTTGGGAATTTGGAGTAAAATTGATGCATTATTTAGATGAGTGCTTTCGTACTTGGTGCCCTAACATGAAACTTAAGACTTGTTATAAGGGATTGCAGTATATTCTAAGGCTTAGTAGGTAAGAAAATAGTGATAAATCTCAGTAAATCTCAGTAAATATCTGTTGATCTTTTTGCTTTATCATCAAAACAACCAATAAGATCAGCATAATTGTTAAAACTTTAAACATAGGAGTTAGAAGCTAGCTAACCTGAAAACCAACTAGAGTTGATTTATTGGTGCACAAATCAAATCATAAAAGAATATAAAAGTTGTGTTTTGTGTCAGGTTGGATCCACTTGAAGCTTGTAGAGAAAGCAAATGAAGGGATTGCAACTGAAAGGAGTGACACAAAGAGTGGTGTTGGTGCTGCCATTGAGAGGCTTGAAGAGAACTTGATAAATAAATAGAAAGGAAGAATTCCAAAGGCAAAGCCTGCCTAGTTTGTCATATATAAAGCATGGAAGAATGCAAAAAGGGGAGTTCCTTTATTCTGCATGCCATTCATTTGACATAATAATCTTATTCTCCCTTCCTTTAATAGCGGTTCGAATTTTTTTCAATTCAATTTTTGTTATTGTGTTATCCACTAGATCACAGTTGAAAAGCATAGAAGTGTAGAGCATATTTATACTACAAACTAGAGTGTTTAGAAATTTATAATCATGAAGTGGGGCAAATATAAGGGAAACTCTTTTTTTAAATATATCTAATGATGATAGGAAATACAAAAAACGATAATTTTTTTTTTTAAATACATTCTCACCCAACTTAAAATTTGAATATAAAATCTTTAATTTAAAATCTCAGGTTTTATCTAATGTGTAAATAGCAAGCTTTGTTAGATATTCAATGGCACTATCAACAATTCTATTGATGAGAGATTCATCTTTTATTCCAAGATAATTCTAACATGTGCCTCAACCTAGACTCGCAATATGTTGTCAAGATCTATGATCTTCATCACGCTCAAACTTTAAACCACCTTTGGGAGCTACAGCTACTGAAAACTTTGGCATCTCACGCCCTGTACAGCACAACTCAGATAGATTTGGACTATCAACTTTAACAGCTTACAATGTAAGACATCTAACAATATGCAGCCTCTTGAGTTCAAGATTTGTAATCTCTATTCTTCGTAATTTTTGACATCCTGAAATCCAGCGATTCTGGAGTAGTGGAAATTGAGAAACAAGATTATGAAACAATGGCTCTGTTATTAATCTCGAAAACACAAGACTCAAGGTTGCTGTTCATTTTGGGGCAAACCAGTAGGGTTCTCAGTCGTGGGGTGGAGATATTTATTGTTGTGACTTGTTCACAGTAAAAAAGATAAGAGTTCCTGGAGCAAGGAAAGCACTGAAAGAAGGGAATGAATCTCTCTGAGTCTGTAATCATTGATTGCAAGCATAAAGATTTCAAGTTATGACATCCGTTAATGTTGACGATGGACCAGGGTTTGTCATCGGGAGTCCTAATGGTAAGACTTTGGATACTTTGAGATGCAATCACAATTTCATCAACATCAACATCGTTGTCTTGCAAGTAAAGTTCAAGAGTGTGGAGTTGAACAAGATTAGAAATATAAACAGACTTGAAACCCATGCAGTCAATGATACCTAAATATTCAAGACAAGGACAACAGTCGGCATTGTTCAAAACTATGGGAGCATCTAGGCCACAATATTGCAAGCAAAGCTCTTTAAGGGGGAAGGGGATCCACTTCCACTGAATAATAATGCAGATAAGGGTTGGTCTAGAAAACATGAGAATAACCATAAATAGGTTAATGATTTAGATGAAAAAACTGGTTGGGGCAAAGTGAATCTGAATATGCCGGTCTTACCATAAAGAGTCAGTCTTAGGAATTGGACCCCATTTTCCAAGGCTAATGTTATCAAAGTATCAAGATGAGAATAAAGGTCAGGGTCGCCCATGCTCACATGAAAGGACCGCACTGATATCTTGTGTTGGCTGAACTGACGCAGAGATTTAACAACATCATCTTTATTTTTCTGGGTTAGGGAAAATCCTAAGGAAGTATAATTTTTCCAGATTTGGTACCATGTTTTGGACAAAACACTAGTTCGAGCTACAGCTTTGGTGGGGAGCCGCGACATGATATAATGAATAATGCATTCAAGTAATTCTGTGTCAACACCACCACCACCAATATTCGTATTCATATCCATATATTCCCCGCTTCAACACAGGATTGTAGCGATATCTAGGTATTATCTGTAGTTTCAATGATTAATTCATTCATTTATTCTAAAATCATCTATACAAACAAGCAATAATATATAATAATACGAATCAATAACAACTAGATCAAAGATTTAAAATTACTTGTAAAAAGGCTTCTCGACTTTGTTTTGTATCTTGTTTTGACCTTATGTTTGGATAAAATGAATAATGTTGATTTATATTTATATATGGTGATTTAGGTAGGTTTCATACTCTTGCAACTAGGATTCTCTATTTGAAGATCCTCTTTTTGAAGATCCTCTATCATAAAATAATTATCTTTTTTATTTCCTTGACATTTTTTCCTTACACTTAAGCCCAAAGAAGCAACGAACTTATGGAACTTGTATTCCTCCCAAGAAACAAATTAGTAACACTAGTAAGATTTGATATTCACCATCAACTTATTGGTTTAGGTTGAATGAGCTTAATTGCTTTTAAATAAAATCTTGAATTCAAGTCTTATAAATAGAAAAATAAGTATTAAAAGAGTTTTCCTCTTATGAGGGCTAACACGTAAATCAACTATTGATATTTTGATTAAAAGTTTTATTAATATTTTTAAAAATCAACAATTGGATTAAAAATTTTATTCATATAAATCATGCATGTTAATTTTTATATTAATTTAACACTTATAATATTTGATTAAAGAAATTTTATTTATTAATACATATTTAACAGTATTAAATTTGTGTAATCAATGAATTAATTAGATCTATTAGAATAATATGAAATTATTCCCAAGACTTTATTTGCTTTCTACAGGTATAAATAATAAGATAAGGCAAATGGGAGCCTGAATTGATGGAAAGTGTTGTTGGATGTTACCATGGAGGCGTAATTTACTATCTTGGGAGTTACAATTAAAGGAGGAATTGGAGAAACTGCTAGATTCAGTCAAACTTTATGAGGGCAGGAAAGACAAATGGTTATGGAAGCATGGCAAGGATGGTGACTATTCAACATGGTCGGGCTATTCTATCTTGATTTCCCCTTAGGTTTTATACAAAAAACACTTGTTTGAAAAAGTATGGAACCAGTCTGTCCCAACCAAAATTTGTGGATTCAATTGGCAATTAATCTTAAATAAATTACCAACAAAAGTTAATCTGTTTGAGAAAGGTATTCTAAAAGATGCAGTGGAGTTGGTTTGCCATCTATGCTGGGATCACATGGAGGACAATAACCACATATTTCTAACTTGTAAGGTAACCACGCAGCTTTGGATTAAATGCCTTAAATGGCGGGGTTTACAAATTGTGCTTGTTGGAAATGTGTGGGATGCTTATGTCCACCATGAAGGTCTTACACTATCTACATGGAGGAGAATTGGTTGGAAGGTAGTATGGTTTGCTTTGACTTGGACTATTTGGCTAACTAGGAATGAAGTTTTGTGTAACCATGGTGAGGTAGATATTAACAAAATGCTTGATTTAGTCCAGGTTAGGTTCTTCCTTTGGTTGACAAGTAGAGGGAAAGTCTTGAGTTTTGGTTTCTCAGATTGGCTCCTAAACCCTCATCTATGTTGCATAACTGCTTGAACTATAATGTTATATCTTGAAGGGGATAATTTGTTATGTACCTGTTATGTTGTTTACGGGTTGAGTACCCATTGTACTCTGAAATAAAACGTTTTGCTTTAAAAAAAAAAGAATAATATCAAATTATTCTAAGAGAATTGCTTGCCCGATGTACTGCCCTTTCTCTGAAGTTCTTTCTGG